GGTTGCTTATTTCAATCACCCCTTTGTACACCGTCGGTTCCCGCAGGGCCATCCCCTGGAGTGCAACTGCGTGTGCTGAGGCACAGAGTGGTCTTCCGGGTTGGGCGCGAACGCTTTTTGAAGGGAACCTGAAGACATGTCTTGTCACAAAGTGCTTGGAACTCAGGTTGGGGTGGTCGTGAGACAGGTTGAATCGGGCAAGTGGCTCCAAATGAACTTAGAAACTTAGATGGTTGGGCTGTCAGGCAAAATGCTCTTGGTTTTGGACCCAAATTAGATTCTGGACTTTCCGCGCTGGCACTTGTGTGGCAGCCACCTCTATCCCTTCAGGTCACAGCCTGACAAGCCTGCAGTGCTGAAAAGAGGGGTGGGTGGAGTGGCTGGATCGTGGCTCAGGCTCGCGTTGGAGTGAGCCATCCCTCCTGGTCTCATCGGTACAAACGCCGGAAGTGGTCAAATGCCTCGCGGCAAGGCATTCGAGACATTCTTCATATCTTCGCATTCGAGTCCGAGAGCTTCCATGTCGAGGGTTAAAAGAACGACGAATGAGGGACTGTCCCGACACCAAACAGGTGCCGATACTTCTTTGCACAGCTTTGGGCAGAAGCATATTTTGATGACTTCGATTGCCTGGCTCTTCATTGGATTCATTCCGCGGCCATCTTTGCAGGAACATCTGATATCGCCAGAGTCACCATTAGCGGTGCCGGCAACACTTGCTACTGACAGCTGCGGAGCACTCGTCATGCTGAAACGCTTCCCTGATCCCTGAAACTGAGTTCTGGTTGAGCCCAGATGAAGGGGAAGTCTTGCGAGTTTTTGGTGAGCCAAGCTCAAGATCTTGGATCGGGACGGCGTCCCACCTGAAAGTTGCATCCCTGCGGGCGTTGCCATGGCCATGGCGTTCTCAAAGTGGGCCAGGACCGGGAGTGCCATTCACCGCGTGCTCCGTCATTTCTTGTTTGTAAGGGCGGGAAGAGCATCTCGAGCTGCTTGGCTTTCTTCGTGGTACAGCTTGCCATCCAATCACAGGTCATGTGGCTCTTTGCTACAGAAAGACCCGTTTATTTGCTTTGTGAAGCTGCTCGTAGTGTGTTTGCTGGTAAGAGAAAGCCAACCCTTCTCAACATGCGAGGGCATGTTGACCCAGACCTTAGCCCATGAGTTGGCCGTTGAATGTATCCGAAGTGGTTTGGGGACAGGGGACATGCGAGATGCTCCGTGCCAGGATTTGCGAGCCCATCTCCAGGCTTTGCAAGGTGCAAGTCCTAAGATGCGCCCCGTATAGGCTCGCTCAATGCAACAGGCCTGAATCTCGCTCCCTGCCAAAAGGTTGGCAAGCAGAAGCAAGACAGCTGATGCTTGAGGGGAGAAAGGGGACAAAGGTAGTCAGCTGTCAATTGCTGGCGATGAGAAGACTTTTGCGCACACGAGTCAATTTCAGCAGCTAGCCAACAGGGTCTGCCTTCACACCTCTGAAATATTCAAAGACTCTGCACGTTGCGTGTTGAGCTTAGAGGCCTCATGGACTTGACAGGGCTTGCAGCCTTTGGACGGATAGAGCAGCAACTTTCATGACGCGATGCGGGTCTGCCTTCCTTGTCTTGAGAGGCTTCCCTTTTAGACAAACTCATGTTTGGGTTGAGTGCAGAACATGGGCAGGTTTTGCCCCATGCTCATATGTCAGCAAATTCGGTGGTTTGGCAGTCACGGATTCCGGCTTGACCGAGGCCATCGGACGCATCTACAAGGCGGGGTCAAGTGCGACTCAGCCACCTTCTGAGCAGGAATGTGCAACCGAGGCATCCACAGAACCACAATGCTCACGTTTCGCATGCACATGTAATCGCGGCAGAGTCGCCAGGAACTCATCGTTCACAGGGTCCGCGATGCGCGGTGTGTGTTTTCATCAACGGCCTGATTCATGTAGGTCATCGCACAGTGCCTAGTCAAGCATCTATTTGCTCGTTTTACGAGCCACTGTCCATATTCACCATCTTGTGTCTCCGCACTGTGACCTTGGTTCACGCGGCAGTTCATGGAAATGTCTGACGGGGAAGGTTCCAGATGAATGCCCGTTGGGACCTTTCTCAAGCGAAGGCTGGGAGGCTTGCGAAACACGCCAAGTTTGAACAATGAACGTTTCAGTCTTTTAAGAACGGGCAGGGATCGCCGCATTGCTCCCACCTGCTCCTCATGGCGAAGTGCTATTGGGTGACTTGTTGTACAGCTCAGCCCGAATGAGTTTGAATCAAAAACAACATCTTACGTTGAGCATGTTTACAACATGGCACAAATCCGCTGTTGAATGTTTTGCGCATTTCAATCTCACAGGGGTTGTCAATCTTGGTTCCCCGATTTGGAGTCTAGCTTTCCCCTTCCCTCCTGAAATCCTCGTTAAGCAATAGCTTGTCCAAAAACAAGGGACCTTCCTGCCGGTTTCTGAAAGAAGCATTTGTTAAGAGAAGCCTTTCCATTCTATCGAACCCTCTTTTGGATG